GACAGTGGTGCTGTCCGCCCCTGCAGCCCTGCAGTGTGGTGGCCACGCAGTGGCGGATCCAGACGTGGCCTTTCGGAGGGGGCAAATTTTGTCTACCTTTCAGGCGAGACAGAGCGACTCTCGGACTCCGCCTTGCTGGCTGGCTGCTCGGGCTGGGCGCCTCCAATTCATCGCAGCCGTAAACGTCCCCGACACTGCTAATGAGTATCGAAGCGCGCCTTTCTCCTCTCTCTCTCTCTCTCTCTCTCTCTCTCTCTCTCTCGAATTCACCAGGGGCAGGGTGGTGGGGGTGCGGGTCCGACGGGCGAGAATCGCAGCAGCAGCGAGTATAGCAGCAGCGAACGGGTCCAATTTAAAGTCGAAACAGTTTTGAGCGGCAGGCCTGCCGGGGACGGACAGCTGCGGGGCCTCGGAAACAAACGTCTCCCTCCAGCATTTCAACACTAATTAAGTTTCGGGGGAAGGCCGCCTTGGCCGCCTTGGCCGGCCGACGTCGGAACGATTCTCACAGGTCGCCTGGGCCGCTTATCGTGATCTGGCTGCCTCCAAGTTGGTCCGATTGACGCCCCCGTCTCTTGTCGGCCGGTCGACACTTGTCGCTCTGTCTCTCTCGCACTCATGGTGTGTGCCTAGGGGTGCGAGAGAGAGAGAGAGAGAGAGAGAGAGAGAGAGAGAGAGAAATCGCTCGGGGACGTCGCCGACGAAGTTGTCCGGCGGCCCGGTCGTAGTGCACCCGCCTGATTCCGCACTGCGTTCCGTCGTCTGTCCCTCTCGCGCCGAGCGTCACGCGCCGCGAGTGCGAGAGAGACGGAGCGACGATCGACGCGGTGCTCGACGCCCGGTGGGTGGTGGTGCCCATGGCAGCCCATGGCGGCGCGCTCCCCTTCTCGCCCTCGCTGCGGGCCGCGTCAAAACTCTCTCTCTGTCTCTCTCGCACTCGCGGGCCGCGCCGTCGGGGCGTGGGGGGTGCGAGAGAGACAGAGCGGCACTCCCTTTCGCCCTGCTATCTGCGTCCGTCACGTCACGCGCTCGTCGTAAATTCTTATGTTATCCCGCTTCACTCCCTCGCCCTGCCTGGCCCTGCAGCCCGCCTTCCTTGGAATGGCCGGTTCGTTCCTTGGCTGCTTCTGTACACATTGTGACTGGGGCGCTGCAGCGCCGCGCCGCGCGAAACGGGCCGGGTGATGTACGATTATTTATCGGGAGACAATGAAGATGATATCACGGTATGGATGGGGTTGTTTACTCACTGCATCGGCTCGGTTCGCCCCCCGGGCACCTCCGGGGGGTCAAGGTGCGCTCGCCTGTAATGACGCAGCCGACTGATTCGTCGCTCTGTCTCTCTCGCACCTCTACGGGGCGCCCCATGAGTGCGAGGGAGACAGAGCGGCGAAAGCGACTCTCGGAATCGGTCTGCGGCTCGGCTTCGGCTCGGCTTCGGCTCGGGGTCAAGGTGCTTCCCCGCGGCGCACAGTGGGCCAGTAGACTGGTGGAGGCGGCCAAAACTCAAGACGTGTTTTGAGCTCCAGAGTCGCTAAATGGGACTCGAACCGATCGTGTGACCCCACCAATGGATTGCTCTCCGAACGAGGAATCCATTGGTGGGGTCACACGTTCGGTTCGAGTCCTGTTAAGTGACTCTGGCGAGCTCAAAACGCGTCTAGAGTTTTGGCCGCCTCCACCGGTCTTCTGGCCCACTGTGCGCCTTGTAACAATGAAATAAACAAGCGCCGAATCAAACGAAACGGCAGCGGTTTCGCTTTTACGACGCTCCGGACCGGTGGCGTCCACTGTGTGGCGTCCCACGGGAACCCCGGCCTGTCCTCGCCGCGGGGACACCTAACTCCCACTTCGGCTCACAATTAGCTCTAGATTTAACCGTCGCCGCTCCTCGTCCGCTCGTCGCGCGGCGCTCCAAAGGGAAAGGCCGTCAGACGCCCTGTCAAAGACAGAGGAGTTAGAGGGGTGCGTCACGGCGCGGCTCGGCACGGCTTAGCTGCGGTACATCCATTACCGGACTTTACGATGATCGTATTTTTAATATATCGGCCTCCCGATGCGACGGGCAGTCGTGTGGAGGCCGTACCGGTGGAGGCCCTGCTGGTGGTGGTGGAGGTCGTGCTGGTGGAGGTCGTGCCGGTGGAGGCCATCCTGCTGCTGGCGGAGGCGGCCAAAACTCTAGACGCGTTTTGAGCTCCAGAGTCGCTAAATGAGACTCGAAGCGAACGTGTGACCCCACCAATGGATTGCTCTCCGAACGAGGAATCCATTGGTGGGGTTACAAGTTCGGTTCGAGGCCTGTTTAGCGACTCTGGAGCTCAAAACGCGTCTAGAGTTTTGGCCGCCTCCACCGGTCTTCTGGCCCACTGTGGAACGGCCTCCACTCCTTCGGGCCCTTCAGGCCTCCAGGTTGCGACCTCGGCGAGGCCCTAAATCAGCCGGCCTCGTCATTCCCGTCTTGAATTAACCGCCCTCATTTGTTTGGCCGTTTTATTGTTGGCGCCAAGTGGCGCTACACCGGCCGTAACGTGAAATACGCCACGCTTTGGCACGGGTTTGCGTCACCAAAAATTTCACTTTTTTTTCGCGATTTTTTTTCTACGGCGTTGCAAACAAAGTCGGTTCCTTGAGAGGGTAAGGGCAGCACGTTAGGCGACGCAACTGGCCCCTGTGAGGGCACACTGTGTGGGGCTGCGAGACTGTGAGGTTTTGGATGTGCGACCGCAGTAAACTAGAAGGGCAGAGACGGATGGCCGGTCAGACAAAGGGCGAGGGAGCAAAACAAAAGCATTAAAGGGAAGGGGCGACGCTACGTTAGGGGGGTGATCGTCACTACACCCTGGTGCTGCCGGTGCTCCTAATCACATTACGACTTTTAATTATATTTCGCTCTGTCTCTGTCGCTCCGGCCGTGGTGGTGACAGAATCTCAAAGAAGGAGAAAAAGCGGGGATTATTTGGACGTCTTGGGACGTTGACGAAGGCCCGCCTAATGACGCGGCTCGAGTGCACTTATTAGACCGGGGGTTGGTGGCTCTGGGTGCCTCGCCTGCCCCGGTCGCTTTCGGCGCCAAAGCGCGATTAGCGGGCCAGACCGGCCAGGATAAATTAGTTTTAATGAGGAGGGCGCGAGCGGCGCGAGTTGTCCAGATTCGTCTTTAATCGACGCCGGTTTTTATCTGCGCGTCACCCCGAGTCTCACTTCCCCGTGCGGCTGACGGCGACTCGATCAAGGCCGGACGGGGTCGATCGGGCGAGAGAGGGAGAGAGAGAGAGAGAGAGAGAGAGAGAGAGAGAGAGAGAGAGAGAGAGAGAGAGAGAGAGAGAGAGAGAGAGAGAGAGAGAGAGAGACGGATAAAGAAAATCCCCGACAAAAAAAGAGAGCAGCCACGAACCTATGTCAGCTGTCCGGGCTGAAGTAGGCCTCGCTAATTTCCTCTGTCTCTCTCGCTCCTTTTTGGCGCCAAATTCGAGTGCTCGCCGCGGCCCGGCTGGAAATTGGAGCAGACATGACCGAGGGTCGCCGTCGGGGGCAATCCGCCTTGCAGGCGAGGCTTGCAGGTGCGGCGACGCCTGACTCCGTCTGTCCGTCTCTCTCGCACTCGTGCGGCGTCCCGTAGGGCCCGTGGGGGTGCGAGAGAGACAGAGCGAGCGGCGGGGAAAGGTGCGAAAAGGAAGGGCCCGAGGAGCGGGCCGGAAAAAAGTGGGGTCGCTTTGCTACGCTCGGCTCGCCACGTGGTGGCACACTGATTTATTGAAGAATGTTTTGGTTCACGGACAGACGGGGCGCCGGTCTTGGCGCCGTGAGGCCGCTTACCAGGTTGTTTCCGTGTGTCGCCGCGTGACGTGCTCCGCGCCCCGCACCCCCAGGACATACATCCTTGCCCCCAGGAGGGCCGTTGCGCCGCGTGGCGCGCATCCCCCCCCCTCCCCCTCCCCTGATTTCGTTTCCAGATCCCACCCTTTCGGTGGCTCCACTTTTTCAGGGAGGTCAGTAGTGAGGAAAAATGCCGCCAGGTCTCTGCACGACTGAGGTTGCCCTCACGCACGGGGACTGCAAAAGATTTAGATCGTCTTTTGATGGTGATTTCTGCAGTGTTGGTGCCACTCTGTTTTGACAAGCGGCGGGAGAATTTAAATCCAAATCGTGCAACCCTTTTGGTTGGACCTGCACGTGACTTAATCTTGGTCCTCGCCTTCACTTTGAATAGAAGGTAGACCGCTCGAGACGCGCCTGACAGTCGAAGAGATAAGGCCAGTTTCTCTCTCTCTGTCTTTGTCTCTCTCTCTTTCCTCCCCGCCCGTTCTAATTAAAATTAACCCCTGCAAAGTTTGTACTAATTGCAGGGTTTGGTGGCCCATCAAACAATCGTGGCATCGCCAACTGTTTTTCCCCGTCTCAGAGCGGGCGCGCGGTGGATGTTGGTCTTGTGCCTTTCTCTCTGTCTCTCTCTGTCTTTGTCTCTCTCTCTTTCCTTCTCTCATCAACACTCTTGGAGGCGCCGGGGCCGCCCCTTGCGTTTGCATGAGCGCACTCTGTTGCCCCCGTTGCCGCTGGCGCAGGAAATGGGAGTCACATCGACAAGTATAAAAACGGCTCCGGACTGGCCTGGCCTCCCCGTCACCGAGGCGTTCGGCTGGAGTCTGAACAGTGCCGCGTCTCTCTGTCTCTCTCGCACCCGCGCGGGACTGTCCATGAGTGCGAGAGAGACAGCCTAAGTGGCGGCGCCTCTGTCTCAGTAATTTGCTTTCTGCAGACTGATTCCGTGGGTCGTTTTCGTCGCTCTGTCTCTCTCGCACCTGTACGGGGCACCCACGAGTGCGAGAGAGACAGAGCGACGGAGGCGCAGTCTGCCGGCCGAGGAAATTACAAGTGGCGCGGCGACAAAGCGACCCGGAGCGTCGATGTCGACCGAACACTTCGTTAAGGTCGCACTACTACACTGTTCAAGAAAAGTGAAGTGCCTGTTTGTAACGGTGCGGTCTGTTTCTGTGTTGCAGGGGAGGGCGGTGAAGGCGAGGAAGGCGCGCCGCCAGACGGCCAGGAGAGGGAGGACGGCGAGGAGGAGGACGCCGTCGACGAGTCCGCGTCGTCCGTCGGATCGCCCCGGCCGGCCCCGGACCAGGCCGACGGCCAGGCCGACGACAAAGACATGCACATCGCCAGCTCGCCGGGGTGCTCGCCGCCCCCGCACCCCATGATCGCCGCCGACAACACGAGGCCCGCTAGCCTGCCCGCCAGCAGGGACGACGACCGGTAGGTTGACGGTTCAAATCCCCGCGCGGAGGGCGTGTTTTTTTTATGGTCGTAGATCTGCGCGCACTTGAGATTCGCCCCTTGCCCCGCGTCGCCGCGTCCCGCGCATCTTTGTTCTATTTCACGAGTAGCGCCAAGGCTGCAGTGGCCATGCCCCTCCGGGCCCTCCGGCAATAACCGTCCAGGGTCCAAGGGTGGCTGGTTTTGCCCCCCACCCCCTTCCGCGGCCTTCCGCCCCTGCGGGCTCCACCGCGGCCATGTATCTTGCTGCATGTCTGCGGATGTCTGTCCGAGTCTGTCGGCCCAGTGTCTCAGGCTCCTCCGCGCTGCTTCTCTCCCCACCCTCTGTTTGCGTATGTTGATTTACGGTAATGGCGGACTCTTCGCGCTAAATAGTGTGCGCGGCGCGGGGCGGCGTGGACGCCCCACCCCCGTAGGGCCAGAAGAAGTAGTCTCCGTGTGCCACGCTGACGGGGTGCTTTGTGTGTTGCAGGGACTCGCCCAGTCGCTGCCCGTCCAGGGACTCCCGCGCCTCGGTGGGGTCGGCGCGGTGCCCGTCCAGGGAGTCGGACCTGCCGCCCGGGCTGCCGGGGCTGCCGGGGCTGCCGCCGGGCATGGAGGCCATCGCCGCGGCGCTGCCCGCCACGCTGCAGGCCCAGTCGGCGGTGGCGGCCCTGCTGGGGGTGTCCCCGCACCGCCTGATGGCGCCGCTGACGCGGGGACCCATCTCCCCACACGTGTCATCGTCGTCCTCGCCGCCCAACCACCCGCTCAGCTCGCCGCCGTCCTCGCCCACGGAGGACGGCTCGGCGCTCGACTTCAGCAAGAAGCCCTCCTCGAAGCGCGAGCGCGACGCGGACGCGCTCAACCTGAGCAAGCCCGACTCCCCCGAGCCCGACGGCGGCGCCCTGGACCTGTCCATGGGGTCGAGCCGCAAGCGCGGCCACGACGACGCGCCGATGCTGTCGCCGCAGCCCTCCCGCAAGGCCGCGCGCGTCGCCGCCGACTTCAAGAACGTCGTGTCGCCGTGGACGTCCCCCGTCGTGGCCTCCCACTTCCCGTACTTCGCCGCCGCCGTGGCCGCCGCGTCGGGCATGTCGCCCAAGAACAGCAGCCCGAACGCGGCCACCGCGGCGGCCGCCGCCATGCTGGACCCGTCGCTGTGGAACGGCAAGCTGAAGGGCGGCCCGCCGTCCGACGCCACCAAGGCCCTGGAGAAGATGAGCGAGCTGTCCAAGCTCGGCAGCGACGAGATGTTCCGGCCGCTCATGCCCGGCGGCCCCGGCGCGCCCGGCGCCACCGGGCGGCACAGCGCGTGGCAGAGCCACTGGCTCAACAAGGGCGCCGACACCGCCAAGGACGTACTCAAGTGCGTGTGGTGCAAACAGAGCTTCCCGTCGCTCGCCGCGCTCACCACGCACATGAAGGAGGCCAAGCACTGCGGCGTCAACGTCCCCGTGCCGTCCATCCAGCCGCCGCCACCGCCGCCGCCGTCGGGCCGCGAGCGCGAGCGCGAGCGAGAGCGCGAGCGGGAACGAGAGCGCGAGCGTGAGCGCGACCGCGAGCGAGACTACCCGCCCACCACGCCGTCGCCCAACCACTCGGGCAAGTCGCCGTCCGACCTCAACATGCTCATCAAGGAGACCATGCCGCTGCCCAGGAAGCTGGTGCGCGGCCAGGACGTCTGGCTGGGCAAGGGCGCCGAGCAGACGCGCCAGATCCTCAAGTGCATGTGGTGCGGCCAGTCGTTCCGCTCGCTGGCCGAGATGACCCAGCACATGCAGCAGACGCAGCACTACACCAACATCATCTCGCAGGAGCAGATCATCTCCTGGAAGTCGAGCGACGGCGAGAAGCCCCCCGGGCCCGGCGGCCAGCCCGCCCCCAGCGGCTCGGCGGCGGCCTCGGCGGGGCCGGCGTCCACCCCCAACAACGCGGGCGCCAGTAGTCACGTGAGCGCCGTGCTGACCTGCAAGGTGTGCGACCAGGCCTTCAGCTCGCTCAAGGATCTCAGCAACCACATGGTCAAGAACCAGCACTACAAGGAGCACATCATGCGCTCCATCACCGAGTCCGGCGGCCGGCGGCGGCAGACGCGGGAGAAGCGGAAAAAGTCGCTGCCGGTGCGCAAGCTGCTGGAGCTGGAGCGCGCGCAGAACGAGCTCAAGAACGGCGAGGCCTCCATGATGGGCGTCAAGCTGCCCAGGGACCTGGGCCGCGACCTGGGCCGCGACCTCGGCCGCGACCTTGGACGCGACCTCGGCCTCACCACCAAGATCTCCTGCGAGAAGTGCGGCGAGAAGATCGAGACGGCCGTGTTCGTGGACCACGTGCGGCTGTGCGTCGGCGGCGGCATCATCACCCCCGACCAGCGGAACCTCCTGAAGAACGCGCTGCTGTCCAGCAGCGTGCTGTCCCCGGAGAGCCCCACGTCGCTGCGGGACGCGAGGAAGAGCAAGGACGAGCGGACGTCGCCGGCCTCGGACACGCCGGGCAGCCCCAAGGACGCCCCCAAGGCCGAGGGCGCCAAGAGCGACTCGCCGTCAGTGCTCTGCGCCATCGAGAAGCTCATCGAGAAGAGCTTCGACTCGCGGGCGCGGCACGGCGCGGCGTTTCCCGGCCCCGGGGCGCCCGGCGCCCCCATGGGGTCCAGCATCCTGAAGCGGCTGGGCATCGACGAGACGGTGGACTACACCAAGCCGCTCGTCGACCCGCAGACCATGAACCTGCTGCGCTCCTACCACCAGCAGCAGCAGCAGATGTACCACCGCCGGGAGCGGAGCGGCAGCGAGTCGTCGTCCATGTCGGAGCGGGGCGGCGGCAGCGCGGGCCGGCCCGAGGCCATGACGCCGGACCGCAAGTCCGACCACCACACGCCCAGGACGACGCCCGACAAGCGCATGTCGCCCAAGCGCGAGTCGGAGGACGAGGACATGCCCATCAAGCGGGAGAGGAGAGACCACGACGACGACGACGACCACGACGACGTCAACGAGAGGGTGCGCGCGCCGGCCCTGGACATCAAGCGCGAGAAGGACGAGGACGAGGACCGCGAGAGCGTGGCCAGCCGGTCGCACAAGACGCCCGACCGGGACGCCGACGACCAGCACTCGGAGGGCCGGCGGAGCGTGGGGGCGGAGAGCCGGGGGCGGAGTAGCGTGGGGCCCAACCACGGCGACAGCCCGACCCACAGCCCCCGGCACACCCCCCTGCCCGCCGCCAGCCCCGCGTCCAGCGAGCGCTCCACCCCGCGGAGCTCGTCCGACCGGAAGTCCTCCCTCGGCGCGCTGTCCTCCATGTTCGACAGCCTGTCGGGCGCGGGGGGCGGCGAGGGGGGCGGCACGGGGGCCAAGGGCAGCAGCCACCCGCTCGCCGCCCTGCAGAAGCTGTGCGACAAGACTGAGACCCACCGCCACAACCGCTCCAACGCCGCCAACAACAACAACAATAACAACAATAACAGCTCGGCGTCGGCGAGCGCGGCGTCGGTCCCTCCCTCCACCACCCCCGGGGCCATCCTGGCCTTCAGCTGGGCGTGCAACGACGCCATCATGACGGAGAACTCGGTCATGAAGTGCGCCTTCTGCGACACGCCCTTCATCTCCAAGGGCGCGTACCGCCACCACCTGTCCAAGATGCACTTCGTCAAGGACGGCGCCATCCCGGACCCCGTGGCCATCAAGGCCCACCAGGCGGCGCAGGCCGCGGCGGCGGCGGCGCAACCCCCCACCCCCGGCGCGTCGTCGTCCAAGACCTCCAACGGGTCCTCCGCCAACCCCGGGGCCCCGTCGCCCGGCAAGTCTCCCCAGGCGCCGCCCGCCTTCGAGGAGAGCCCGCACTCCAAGTTCCTCAAGTACACTGAGCTCGCCAAGCAGCTGAGCAGCAAGTACGTGTAAAGTGCAATACGGCCACATGCCGACCCCAGTGAGCAGCTCGGTTACCTTATCGTATAAAAAACTAAAACCGTGTTAGGAATGACTCTTCTTTCAAGTTTCTTTAGAAGCATAGGTGTACAAAGTGACTTCCATAATCATTCCTTTCTGATCCTCTATGCTGAGATCTACCTTCCTCTTTCGCACATTTTTCTTGCCATTTGTTTTTAAATGTGCCCACGTGTGAGTTAATGTTGACTATTTCGTATGTATTTGAATGTGCAATTTAGCCTGATGGTGATGTTTGTATGTTGCCCGCAATTAGGGCTTTCTACCATATCCCAGTGTAAACCAGTGATGGTATTACCTTTTAGAAAAATGCGAGTATACGGAAATTAGAACGTGAATCGTTATTTCATGTTTGGAAGTAGATAGTGGGCTTCCTTACCAAATAAAGCTCGGTGCCCAACTCCCCATCCCCTCATCAATGTGATAAGTGAACTATGTTCACAAATGACCCTATCCTATAATTGTGTATACCAACTTTAATATTTAATTTAAGATGAGATTGAGCTGAGAGTGATCGAGGCAGACCCAACAAACAAAAGGTATACTAGCATGTGTATAAAATACAAAAATGAAAAACTCTTTTCTAATTGCTCATGTAGAAAAATTACGAGGTCTGCTGTACCTCTCTTCTGCTATTTGATATATATTATATACATATATGTTTTCACAGGATATTTTCCGATCCTCTGCTCCTCTAAAATAAGTATTATCAAGTACCTACAAACAATCGTATACGTATCTGCTACAAAATCGAGACAACTATTTCTATCTTCTTTATTTTGGACGTTTTAAATTCGAAATACCAACATATATAACAAAGTTACAATGTCCTTAGGACATTGCCTAATATAAACTATTATGTATACGCCCTAGATCAGATAATCGGAACTTCAAGACTCGTTGAGACAAAGAGAAAATGTTACAGAATGTTTTGCTGGTGTTGTGTTTGGCTGTCTTTTTATTATGTTTTAGATCATTCATATACTTTCTATTGTATTATACATGCCAAAATATTTGTACAGTGAGGTTTGCCAGCTCAAAGATTATTCAATTTATAGCCACGCAATATAAACTAGCACTATGTGCTTAGTCATGAAATCTTTTGTTTTATTTATTTAAATGGCCTGATCTCATAAGGTTAAAAGCAGAAATTTGTATTGCGTTTCCAGCGATTCAGATGCTTTTGTATTTTGTGGAAATAGTACAAATTTGGACTATGTTGGTGCGGAAACGTACACGGAGCTCACTGAACCAACTATTCGCTCGCTTCGTTGAACCATTCAAATTGTGATAATCCATTTTTTCCACAGTATACTAAAAAAAATCGCACAGCTCGACAAGGGCCGTGTGTGTGACGGGAATATCTGGTTCAGTGAAATCCGCGTAACTTTCTCGTTCAACTTTCATATTTATTGTAGTCGTGTTGCAAGCTCGTTCGAGTCTCGTACTCGCAGCAGTCTCTTGCATGTAGTTTTTGACTTCTTGTTGTTTTTAAGCGAACAACGATCAATGTGCAAAAGCGAATGTTACTGTTATGATTTTGATCAGTAAGAAGTTCTTTGTTAACCTGCTACCTTACGGAGATCTGCACGGTTGAAACCAGTCATGAGTTAAGCTTAATTTATTTTCTATATAGTTTGTTTAGCAGAGATCGTGAATGATTTATATTTTCCGGGTCTTTTGAAGAATTGTTATAACTGTTAATTGTCACTATTCTTGTTTTAAATTATTGATTAATTTAATGTCGGCCACGTATCGTCTCTTTGAAATGAATACTGTGATTTCTGTATACATTAAACGCCTCTTCAATCTGGAAAGGAACGTGTTTAGTAATAGTCAAGTAAGCAATAAATTTGTTGGATCTGTAATGAATTGTGTGTTTTCCTTTACCCACATATAATCACCGAAAAATGGAACTTCAAAGAACCAAAAACCACATAACACACAAAAAAACTAATAATCAAAAGTTTTAATATTCTCATGAAAGAAAAAAGAAAAATGAATAACACGTATTCTCTAGTCAATGGGGCTGAATAAGATACATTCAAACTGAAAAAAAAGAAGATGATACACTATAGAACCTACGGCCATCACTCAAGACTAGTAATTGAAAAGAGAAAATATGCGTCAACTTGTTCTATCAACATATTGATACCACGTGACACCGGGAGCTACAAATTACCCTTAGTCCGGCAAAGTCGCAGGTCTGGAAAATAGCCAACGAGTCTTCAGTGAGAGAACTCATCATTTTGGCTTAGTCTCGGATAACCCACGGCGCAGTGAAAAGAGATATTTATGGCTATATAAGTACCTGCATTCGCAGGGCAGCGCTCCGCAGTATGGATCGTTAGAGTCACAAGGCAGCGGCGATTTCACTGGCCGACTAACCTAACCAGGGCCGCCGCAATCGCGGAGATGAATGTAAACGTCTCGGAAAAACCCTCACGCCATGTTGCCGCATAGGTACTCAAAATACTACGCAAAAGCACCCATGCTGCAAGGATTGCGAACCTCACCCTGTCTGCTGTAGGCAACTTTTCAACAACGCGCAGATGTGTTGAGTTTTTTCCTAAAGTCACGTGGCAACGCAGCCTGTGGGGACGACGAGTGGCTCGCTTGACGGAGGCCGGCGCGTCCTCAGAGGGCGACCTAACCTCAACTAGAGGCTTCTGTCCGAGGGGCGCGGGAAGGGACGAGTTATGACCCTCGGAGCCCCGCGGAGGGCCAGCCCAGGGCCGAGCCAGAGCCAAGGGCCCCGCGGTCCTCAAGTGAGCGTTATGTTTTGCCGCCATTGTGCGGCTTGATGCATACCCCGCCGTGGTGACGACACCCCCGGCACCGCCCGGCGGCGGAGGCAGCGGAGGCGCACCCCCAAACCTCGGCGTATCTCATCCTGTGACAGCGCACTTAGTGCCTGGCAAGCCTGGCAAGGAAGGCAGACCAAAATGGCGCGCTGCCGTCAAAAATTTCAGGAACGACGTCGCACAGTGGGCCAGAAGACCGGTGGAGGCGGTCAAAATCCCGGACGCGTTTTGAGCTCCAGAGTCGCTGAATGGGGCCCGAACTGAACGTGTGACCCCACCTATGGATTGCTCTCCGCACGAGGAATCCATTGGTGGGGTCACACGCTCGATTCGAGTACCAGTTAGCGACCCTGGAGCTCAAAACGCGTCTAGATCCTTGCCCGCTTGCGGCGGCCTCCATGCAGTGGCTGGGTGGGTACAGTGTACAGACGCGTGGGAGACGCGGGCGGCGCGCTGCTGGGTCGCCGCGGTCCGTCTCGCCGGCCGGATGCGCCGTCAACATTTGAGTAATATGTGAGTGCAATAATTCAATCAGCGCCGACCAAGTCGACGAGGCAGCTGGGCAGAACACAGGCCGCGGGGTGCGACGCGACGCGCACGCGCAGGGCTGCCAGGGCAATCAGGGCGAGGCGACACGTGACTCGAGAAATGCCACGCAATGCTGCCAACACTGGCGGCGGTAATAAACGGCGCCAACGTTACAGCGTCACACCGCAGCGGTGCTGAGAGGAGCTAGCACAACGTGAGGCGACCCAATGCAACGAGACGGATTTCCGACATCTCAACTTTTCAACAATGCACGGTAAAAAAAATAACCTAACCTAACCTAACGTCAATGAAAGCAGATGATGCTTGGTAAAGGCTGAGGCTTCAACCATCCGGATGTTTCAAGATTCCAGGCTGCATTTGCAACAACGGCTGGATGTCCCTTCTTCGGCTCATTCACTCCTGAAACAAAAACGAAACAAGGGAAAAGCAAAGACGGTTCTTATTTGAAAATATACCGAACATAGAACAGTATTAGCCAACATAAACAAGAGGAAATTTTGTCAACATGCAAAATTGAAAAATTTCCTCTTGGCTTTTGTTGCTCCTGTTCTTTCACTAGCTGGTTGGCCGTGCTGCCTTCGCATTAGGCTCTAGTTTTCTCGATGCTGCTTCCCTCGTCAGTTTAGATTCCCGCTAGACGGATAAGTGGCCTGTGTCTGGCGGCCGTGCCAGTGTCAGTGCGCGTTCGTTCCATGAAGGAGATCTTTGATCGGGCATTGGGCACGTCGAAGCTGGTTTACTGTTTGGCCCAGCATCCGCCAAGTGTCGACACGTTTACAGCCGCCAGACCGAGAGTCGTTTTCGCCGCTCCGTCTCTCTCGCACCTGTGCGCAACGCCCTTCGAGCGCGAGAGAGACAGGGCGACGAAAACGGCTCTCAGTCTGCGCGGGGAGCCGCAGAGCGCTGCGGTGTGACTGAGGCCAGCCGCCGGGCCTCGCCTTGCCGCGCCTTTGAGGCGATCTGTCGTCGCGGTCAATGCGGAGCGATGCGAAGCAGTGCGGCGGCCTGCTGTGTTTCATCAGTGTGCAAACAGACATACGCGGCAAACTTACGACTGACGGGATGCATGAGTGGCGGCAGCAAAAATGAGAACGCAGACTTGAACGCAGTCTGGCACTGGGCCGCGCACACCGCACCAGAAGACTCATTCCGAGCTGGAGGTCTCTCTCTCTCTCTCTCTCTCTCTCTCTCTCTCTCTCTCTCTCTCAGCCTGTAGCAGACCGCCTTTGATCGTGCCGAACACTCGCAGTGTTGCATTGAAAAGACAGGCGAGTGGTCAAGAAGGTGGCGCGGTTCGAGAAATCTCAGCGCCCCGCCGCCGAAAAACGAGCAAATTATGACGAGTGCGCGCTCCACTCTTCCGCTGGCGCGCGTCGCTCAGCATCTCACGGGCCTGCCGAGCACCGGAAGGAGAGGGTGGCGGTGAGAGATTGGGTAGCTTCCGGGGAGCGACGGTTGAACTCGGGTGACAAGCCACGGGAAGTTGTGTCAGGCCTTGCCATAAAAGCTTGCCAGCAGCAAAAGACACAGGTTGAAGAGGACGGGAGAGAGAGAGAGGGGGGGGGGGGAGGGGGATGCATTTTTCTACGCGGGAGAGTTATTAAAACGTTCAACATTTGCCGAGAACTCATATAGACAAGCTCGAGAGCCCACCGCCGTGTTTTCCTTGGTTTTCCTTCGCGCCGCTGCTGCGCTTCTCATATCTCAATCCCGAATGCGAAGGGAGTCACGTTCGCCTGTTTGCGGGCGCTCTGTCTTTTCGTTGTTTACCCGGCCGTCGGGACAGGTGTCTGTGACTGAGTCCGGCCACCCATCACGTCACGGCCGTGTTCACGGTCGCAGCGGACAGCGGGGCACACAGAAATAGCCATCAGACATTGTATATCGAGAAACCAGTGTCGCGCCAGAAAAGTAGGCAAAGAGTAGCCAAAAGGCACCAGCGATGGAGTCCCATCTAGCGACTCAGGAGCTCAAAACGCGTCTATTCTTCTTTCAATGTAAAACGTCCGGATACCTCACCAAGGCACCCTCCTCGGCAGGTAACGCTGCTTTTTTCCCCTGGCAAGAACACTCAAACACTCTCGAAGCTGCAGCTGAGCCACACCTGAGCCGCCAAAATAATAAACTTTACAACTCATTGTTGCGTTTTATTTGTGTGAATTACCTGCTAAAAAGGGCCAAACCCGAGTGGCGCCCGGCGCCGCCGACAAGGGTGGCTCCACCGTGTGGCTCCTCGCCGCCCACGTCGTAAAGTGCGAGACGCGCTGCGGTGCGACAGGGGCGACAAAGCGGCCATCTGTTTGGGCCGCCCTACGGTGTAGGCGCTGCCACTGGACCCGGCGCCTCGATAGGCTCCAAACGGCGGGCTGCAATTAGCCGGGCGTGGGAAAAGGTGCACCGAGGGATAGCCCACCGGTTTTCGACGCTGCTTACCCGCGGTCTAGACCTCCCACTTAGGGTTGCGAAAAAATAGTTGGGGGTCGCGGCTTCGTACTTTAGGATCGCGAGGGGTCCAAGAGCTCCTCTGGGCAAGAGCATTTCGTGCGAGAGAGACAGAACAAGTACCACGCACAGTGGGCCAGAAGACCGGTGGAGGCGGCCAAAACTCTAGACGCGTTTTGAGCTCCAGAGTCGCTAAATGGGACTCGAACCAAAAGTGACCCCACCAATGGATTGCTCTCCGAACGAGGAATCCATTGGTGGGGTCACACGTCCGGTTCGAGTCCCATTTAGCGACTCTGGAGCTCAAAACGCGTCTCTAGAGTTTTGGCCGCCTCCGCCGGTCTTCTGGCCCACTGCGCCACGCCTCGCCGGCGACAGGTGGCGCCTCAAGACAAACAGTTTAGAAGCCGACATGTCGTGACCGCACCAGCTTCTCAGCGACCCCACGGCGGACCTGCACTGCGAGGAGGATAGCACCCCGGATGGAAGGGAGGGGATGCCGTTACGCGCGACAGGGCAGCCTTGAGTGAAGCCCCGGCACGAGCCGATAAGAAGAAGAGAAGAAGAAGAAGAAGAAGAAGAAGAAGAAGAAGAAGAAGAAGAAGAAGAAGAAGAAGAAGAAGAAGAAGAAGAAGAAGAAGCGAGTACTATAGCCACTAAGCAGTAGAGTGGCAGGCCAAGTCGAAATTTTTGACGTTTCCACTTCGACTCAGAACATCCATGGATGTGCACGCGATATGTATCACACTGGTAGTAGTACAACCACATTCCAATTTTAGCAGTGCAGCAGTTCGCTCATGATCTGTCCTTATGTGATCCCCACCCCCTGGATGACCGGTTCACGCCTCCCTCCGCCCGTGCGGCGATCCTATGGCCATTCCGCCCCCGCCTCCATGCGCGATCCTCTACGACTACTACTGCCGCCGAAAAGGCAATCGCATGTTATCAGGTGATTCCTTATCACTCAGCCAATGGGAAGCAGATGGAGAAAAATGTGCGTCCGCCGAGAAAATAGTGGCGACGCAGACCGCGGCCGTGCGGGGCACTCTTAGGCGCCCTCTCCGCGCCCACACACTC